CCCGGCCTGAACACAGTTTTAATATTGCTCAACAATCCTGTTATATTCCTATGATTGGTTTACTTTTCTATTCACCACAATGATTAATTCAAACTTTCACTTTTGTAAACTTCTGAATCTTTCTACCTCTCCATCAAAGCGGATGACTTTGTCTCTCCTGTTTAAAGAGGGATTAAAAATCATCCAATGGGAACTCCTTCATGTTCTCAATTTCAAACATACAAACCTACTTATATTTATATAATCCTAGTCTCTTTCCTTCCTATCAGAGTAATAATTATAAAATACTTACTTTGTGCCAATACTTAGTGCTTACTTATCTCTCTGAAGCTCCACAAAAACCTTTTCAGATTTATTCATTTTATAAATGACAAAACTGAGAAGCAGAGAGGTTATATAATTTGTTCTTGGGCTCACTGCTAGACAGTAGCCAAGCCAGGATTTACACACGTTCTCATTTCTGAGCCTATGCTTTTAATAATAATAATAATAATAGAAAACAAGTCACTAAGGTACTAGATAAGCCAAGGCACTTTTCTCTGCCCTATATATATGTATATGTGTGTGTGTGTGTGTATAAAATTAATCTTGACAGCAGATGATTGTGAAGTAGGTATTAGCACCATTATTATTATTAGGTGAGGGAAACTAAAGCACAGAGAGGTTAAGTTCTCTGACTGTAGGAGTAAGGTCACACAGCTAAGGAGTAGAGGAGCTGGGATTTGAACTCAGGCAGTCTGGCTCCAGAATTTCATGCCATAGTTTACTGTGTTCTACCGCCTTGATTTTTATTAAAGTATATTTTGCTTCCTATGTGAGGCTGACCTCTCCATTCCTCTCTTTTGTCTCAGGAACCTTATGCTATTATTTTTTTTTTTCTCAATGTGTAGTTGACTTCCTTTTCACCTGGATCTTTCCCTTTTTCTCTGAAAAATTCTCAAGTGTCACCCATTTAAAAACTTCCTTAATATGTCTGTACGTATGTATGATGTAGGCGCTGCCTTATGCTCAGCCCTCACCTCAGCTCTCATCCTTCTCCCCTCTCTCCCTCAGTGTTAGGACCTTTGTGCATGTGTGGCTGCTAACCTAACTCCTACTCATCCTTCAGGTCTCAGCTCAGGTGTCCTTTTCTATCTTAGGTCTCTCTTCTATAGGTTCTCTCATCACAGAGTTGCATTGCTTTATGTTATACTTGTCACATTTGCAATTTTGCATTTGTTAATGGAATTGATTAATTTATGTCTGTTCCAATAGACTAAGCTTGGTGAGTCAGGAACAGTATTTTTGTTCATGATTATATCCACAAATCCTAGTCTTCAATAATCAGAAAACTCCAAGGGAAAGCATTTAACACTTAACCAGATTAACAAAAAATAAAAAATGGAATCATTTGATGTAAGTGAGATAGTGGTAAAACCGATAACCAAATAAACTAATAGTGTCTTAACATAGCGAGTACTATAGAAAAGGTCATATTCTTGGGCTACTCCTGTAAATTTATTTTTAACCAAAGGAGAAAAAAATCTGTATTTTCAGAGATGTTCATCACAGAATTATCTATAGTAAGTAAAAAAAAAAAAAAAGCCTGACACATCACCCATATGTCCAATAATGAAAGCAATTAAGTAAATTAACATTGTGATATCTATGTAAAGAATAGAAAATATTTTCAGTATAAACAGTGAAAAAAGCAGAATAAAAAGTTGTATTTATGCTATATTTGCAACTGGATAGATGTAATTATAAATTTGGACAAAAATGGGAGCAGGAGAGTATGGCAAGATGAAAAGAATTGCCTTAAAGTTCATGTATGTTTTATTTTTTCAACAATGTATTGTTTTGTGATTTAAAAAAATTAGTGTCTTAGTGCTACTTTTTTTTTTTTTGGATAACATCACTATGGGTACTTTTCTTTCTTTAGTATGGACCCGTGTTTAGTTTTACCATGGTAGGCAAGACGTTTACATACCTTCTGGGGAGTGATGCTGCTGCACTGCTTTTTAATAGTAAAAATGAAGACCTGAATGCAGAAGATGTCTACAGTCGTCTGACAACACCTGTGTTTGGGAAGGGAGTTGCATATGATGTGCCTAATCCGGTAGGTGACACTGTTGTTGTGAATAAAGACAAGTCTATACTTTAATAGTTATAGCTAATGTGTGGTATTCTACATTTAAAATGTAGAAATAATTTAGTCTTTGGTTTAAAAATATGAAGAGCCATGAGACCTTTAAAAGAAGAAAAGCCATGGATAACTTATCTGATAAGGAAGTGGTATTTCATTTTATACTTGCTGGCACGGACTAAGCAATTTTAAAGGGCTTCCTGTACAAAGAAATGCAATTAATGATAACTTTGCATATTGGGATTTAATTTGAGAGGGTAATAAGAAAATCCCACTATTTCATCAAAAGGACTTCCCACCTACTCACTGTGCCTGAAATTCTAGCATAAAAGCTATTTTGAGTTAGAGATTGCTGACATTAGAGGTCCTCTTTTAATGCAGTACTTTTCAGGTCTGGGGTATGTTTGTGTGTGTGTATCTTACCCTCAAATTGAAATATTAAAGTAAGTTGACACAGAATACAAATCAGATATTTGGCCCAACTGCTTGGTGTGGGCTCTGACTGTGAATGTAACACACATAACCCAGTACCCTAGAGTAGCAATTAAAAGTTAACATTAAATGTTGGTCTGGGGATGGTGGAGGGATGGGGGTGGGGGATGAATCTCCTTAAGGCCAAAAGAAAGGGTCCTGGAAGATCCCTCTGCTCAGATAGCTGTTCATTTTCTCACACAGCTTATTAGACTCTTAAAATATAAATGCCCCCAAAGGGTTAAAACCATTAGTTATCTTAGTGTTACATAGTTTTAATAACCTAAATGGATCTTATGATAAAACAAATGTGTTTTAATGCAGTATATCCTTAATTTTTTTTTTTTTTTGAAGGTTTTCTTGGAACAGAAGAAAATGTTAAAAAGTGGCCTTAACATAGCCCACTTTAGGCAGCATGTGTCTATAATTGAAAAGGAAACAAAGGAATACTTTCAAAGTTGGGGAGAAAGTGGGGAAAAAAGTAAGCCTAACATTTTGCATTTGTCCCATTCCTACTTTTCTGTGAATAGAAATCTAAAGTATGTATGTGTGTAGCGTATTTAAAAGAAAGTACAATGTATGTTAAACTACCTTGGGTTTAATGGGAGGGACCTGTTATTATTGTGGGGTTGTAACTGAGAATCCAGTCTTTATACTGGACTGCAGTCAGTATTGTCTTCAGAGGCAATTGCTGTGCCCATGGTAGGAAGCATCATCTGCCCACAGGGCAGCAGGTCATCACATTCTAGGTCTGGTCTTTAGCTTTTATTAAAGGTCAGAAACTATTTTTAGTATACCTAAAGTTGATACGATATATTTTCTAACCATACAAGAAGCTGATGTGTAAATTGGAATTCCAGTTTAATGAATACATGTGAGATATATAATTATAGCACCAAGAAGACCAGAATATTTGCTGATCTCTTTATGGGGAAATCTAATTGGAAAGCCAAATGATTGGAAACTCATTTGGTAAATGTGGAAATAAAGAACAGGGAATTAATTAGATAATTTTTATGACTTAAGTGTCATCAATGTAGTCTCTAGTGTTGGGGTATACCAACTAGTGATTAGTTGCAGTTTTCTTTTATATATGGCCAAGACTTCAATTTTAGTCCTGATCATCCTATTTTTCACCTGGGGAATAATCTAATCTTCAGTTTTTGGACTGCTGTTCCTTGGCAGGTGCCTCATTATTGTCCAAATATGTGTTGTAAATATATTTTGCTGCTTCTCTTATACTGTGACCTGGAAATCAGATAACCCCATTTTTTTTTTTTTTTTTTTTTGAGACAGAGTCTCTCACTCTACTGCCCTGAGTAGAGTGCCGTGGCATCAGCCTAGCTCACAGCAACCTCAAACTCCTGGGCTCAAGCGATCCTTCTGCCTCAGCCTCCCGAGTAGCTGGGACTACAGGCATGCGCCACCATGCCTGGCTAATTTTTTCTATATATTTTTAGTTGTCCAATTAATTTCTTTCTATTTTTAGTAGAGACGGAGTCTCGCTCTTGCTCAGGCTGGTTTCGAACTCCTGAGCTCAAACAATCTGCCTGCCTCGGCCTCCCAGAGTGCTAGGATTACAGACGTGAGCCACCGCGCCCGGCCACCACATTTATTTTTATCTTCATTTTATCCTTTCACAATAATGAAGAGCTCATGAGTGAGGTTTAGAGATGCCTTTGTGGCATCTGTTTTGGCTATCATAGGGGCAGGATACCTCCTATAATTTGGTCTTATTGCCTCTCTTTCTTTAGTGTCGTGCATAGCCACATATCTGTCTATAGACTTTTTTTGATGATGTGAATAGGATCTTGTTTGTTCTTGAATTTTTATTCTCAGTTTTCCCTCACAATACCTTTATATTGTCAAGAAAACAGAATATTTCAAAAGACTTTTTGAAAGTAGTAATGGGAATGATCTTTTCCCCCCTAGATTTGTTTGAAGCTCTTTCTGAGCTCATAATTTTAACAGCTAGCCATTGTTTACATGGAAAGGAAATCAGAAGTCAACTCAATGAGAAGGTGGCACAGCTGTATGCAGATTTGGATGGTGGTTTTAGCCATGCAGCCTGGCTGTTACCAGGTTGGCTGCCTTTGCCTAGTTTCAGGTATGGATAAAGAAGACATTACACTTGGTTATGTACCTTTATATAATTACTGTAGTGTTAGTATGCTTTGCTTTAACAAATATAAAACTTAAACAGGTAAAACGTGCAAATTAGGGGAGACTATGAATCACTATTCTTCTGTAAGAATTCAAGACAGGTTTTCTTTATATAGTGAGCTCATTTAAATAAGTTTCAGCTTATTAAGAAGGTGATTTGTTGCCTGTTCAGTACTTTTTTTTTTCTTTTTCTTTTTCTTTTATTTCAGCATATTATGGGGGTACAGATGTTTAGGTTACGTATGTTGCCCTTGGTCCCCCCGCCCAAGTCCGTGTTTCAAATATGTCCATCCTTCGGGTGGTGCGCATTGCACTCCTTGTGTATACAAATACCCATCCCCTCCTCCCTCCTCCCCCTGCCTGTTCAGTATTTTGAAGCCTGCCTGTCTCACATGTTCCTGGTACTCAGGAAAGTCTCTGAACCTAAAAGTAATATAGCCCTCCCCCAAGCACTTGTTTGAAAGTCTTTGATGGCTTTATAGTGTATTGTGAAATTTCTTTCTTTTGAATATTTGTGCCTTTACTTAATTTTCTATTTATCACCATGCCAGCTGTCCTGTGATTTCTTAAAGGGAAGGAACTATCTCTGATACAAAAAAATATAGCTCTTAGGACTTGATGTGTAGCTTAGTGTCTTGCATATTAGGTTTTCTGTATCTTTGTTGATTCATTTCTGTGTTTAGTTAGAGATGGGGAAGAGTTAATTTGGCACTCCCTTTTCCTTCTGTTTCCGACCCTTCTATCTATTTACAGCACAAAAGAGAGATGGGAGTAAAATGGAGAGCCAGGAGAGGTTCTCTGAAGTTCTCTGGAACTCATTACCTTATATTGTAAGGAGCTTTGTAGTTTAAAAATATTTTTATATATATTATGTTAGAACACCCAGCACAACCCTTGGCCCATATTGGGTTCTCCATAAATGTGCATTGAGCCTATTTCCACCTCTCCTACCTCCTGGATGAAGTCAGAATTCTTGAGTTTGGTATGATAGGCCCTTCCCACTCTAGCCCAGTCTTTCTCTGTTTCACTCATACCAACTGATTTAACCAGATTATTCCATACACTTTCTTAAACAGGCCTTATGTTTTCCTGGCTGTGCTGTGTTCATACTGTTAAGCTTCAATGTCTTCTTCCCTTCTGTACATATGATTTCAGTTGATCCTCAGTGAAGCAGGTGAAGCAGGGCAGGAGTTTTTTTTTTTTTTTTTTTTTCGAGACAGAGTCTCACTCTACTGCCCTGAGTAGAGTGCCGTGGCATCAGCCTAGCTCACAGCAACCTCAAACTCCTGGGCTCAAGCGATCCTTCTGCCTCAGCCTCCCGAGTAGCTGGGACTACAGGCATGCGCCACCATGCCCTGCTAATTTTTTCTATATATTTTTAGTTGTCCATCTAATTTCTTTCTATTTTTTTTAGTAGAGACAGAGTCTCGCTCTTGCTCAGGCTGGTCTCGAACTCCTGAGCTCAAATGATCCACCCGCCCTGGCCTCCCAGAGTGCTAGGATTACAGGCGTGAGCCACCACTCCTGGCCCAGGAGTTTTTATTATAAGACTTGGTTTAAGAGAGGAGGCTCGGAAGTCAGATTGTCTGGTTTTAGATTCCAGCTCTAATGCTCTTTGGCTGTATGATGTTATGCAGGTAGCTATAAATTGAGGATAATAGTATCTACCTTACAGGCAGCTAAAGTGGGTAACTCATGAAAAACACAAGACAGTACCTGCTATATAGCACTGTATTTAAAGGTAAAATTTTAGGAGTTGAAGCTTGTTTTCTGAATCTACTAGTATTTTTGCCCCCTGAAAAACTGTTGTATTAGAAAATAAAAAATAGGATCAAATCCTGTAGAAGAACCAGAGTGACTGTTCTTCAAGACTTGATTAGTGTTAAAATTGGAATTTCATGTTAATTTAAAAGAGTATTATATTTTCTGTTGAACTGGAAATGCTCTAAAGGTATTTCTTGCTTGTTTTAGGCCTTTAGTTTGAACGCAGGCAATGTGTTAAGAATCTAGGAGATCTATGTATATATTTAAACACATTTCTTTCCCTTAAAGACCGTGAAAATTGTCAGTGATGTAAGGTTTTCAGTACTACTTATCTTTTCTTGGTTCTGAGTTTTTGTCAGTTATTTTAGAGTCTTTTAAGTTTATTAAATAAGGTTGCTTTAAGCTAGGACCTGGTTTTAAAAATGAATTTGATCCTAGAAAGTATTGCTTTATTTAAAAACGTCATTATTTTTGAATTATAGACGCAGGGACAGAGCTCATCGAGAAATCAAGAATATTTTCTATAAGGCAATCGAGAAACGCAGGCAGTCGGAAGAAAAAGTTGATGACATTCTCCAAACTTTACTGGAGTCTACATACAAGTAAGAGCTGTTTAGATCACATATTAAGCTGAAGTAGGAAATTATATATTAAAACATAGTTAAATAATATTTCCAGTGAAAAAACGATGCTGGCAAAAGAAGTTGGTAGCTATGATTCTTGGACTTTTAAAATTGTTGAGACATAAATTATTGGGATCTCACACTTTACTAGAATTCCAGTGACTGGGCATGGTAAAAGTTTGCTAATAAACTGTAATGAAGTCTTTTGTAATCAAAATCCTGTTTTCTACTGGTCTGTCTCTTTTCTAAGGTGGGGTGGGGAATCCTCTGACTTGTGATAGGCAAATGCAAGAGACTATTATACCTGAAAATGTATTCATTATGACACTTTATTTAAAGGTTGAGGCATGAAATGTGTCTGCCAAAGTGTTAAATTTGTGTGTGTGGTTCGTTCCATAGGGATGGGCATCCTTTGTCAGATGATGAAGTAGCAGGGATGCTTATTGGACTGCTCTTGGCAGGGCAGCATACATCCTCAACTACTAGTGCCTGGATGGGCTTCTTTTTGGCCAGAAACAAAACACTTCAAGAAAAATGTTATTTAGAACAGAAAACAGTCTGCGGAGAGGATCTGCCTCCTTTAACTTTCGACCAGGTTCGTTGAATTTTTCAGTTTCATCACTGCCTTATGACTTTGGGTATCTGCGATTAATTTTTCAATGGGACAATTTGAGGTTTTTATATATCTTAAATTGATTAGCTTCTTTATTTTCAGATTATTCCCCATAACTTTGCCTAAAATATCCTAATGATACTGCTTCTTGCCATTAAACTTTATCAGATATGTTTTGAGTTGATCCTCGAGGTTGTTTCTTTGGTACGTACTTCTCTGCTTCAAAGTCTGGCTTCTTTAGATGGAGGATATTATGTGTGTGTTGTGTGTGTTATGAAATGTAGAAGTCCCTGAATTACCTAGAATTCTACATGTCCAGAATGGCCTGGGCATTAGTAGAGACTACCAAAAGTGGTAGTAGTAGTAATGGGGATTTTGGAAATTCATAAACACTACACCCAGCTTGCTGGGTGGAAAGAGAGAAAGATTCACTGTACAACCTGAGATTCTATGTTGGAAGTAAACCCTGGTCATATTCTCTTCCTGTTATCTTTTGTATTCTTTCGTCCTTTATTGATATGGTGTATTACATTGATTTCCAGATGTTAATTGTATTCCTGGGATAAATCCTGCTTCGTTATGGTGCTGGATTTTTATATGCTGCTAGATTCAGTTTGCTAGTATTTTGTTGAGGATTTTTGCACTTATATTCATAAGGGGTATTTATCTGTAGTTTTATTGTGATGTCTTAGAGTGGTTTTGGTATCAAGGTCATACTTGTTTCATAGAGTGAGTCTGAATGTGTTTCCTTTCTCTTCTATTCTTTGGAAGAGTTCATGAATGATTGGTCTTAATCCTTTTTAAAATGTTTGGTAGAATTTACCAGTGAAGCCATGTGTGTCTGTGCTTTTCTTTGTGGGAAGTTTTTTGATTACTAATACAACTTATTTGTTTTAGGTCTATTCAGATGTTCCATTTCTTATTGTCAGTTTCAGTAGTTTGTGTTTTTCTAGGAATTTGTCCATTTCATCTAGGTTACCTAGTTTGTTGGCATAAAGTTGTTGATAGTATTCTCTTATAAACCTTTTTATATCAGTAGCGATAGTGATGTCCCCTCTTTCATTCCTGATTTTAGTAACCTTTTATATTATAGCTTAATATGTAATTCACATACCATAAAATATATCCCTTTACAGTATATAATTTAGTGGTTTTTAGTATATTCAGAGTTGGGAAACCATCATCATGATTTAATTGTAGAACATTTACATCACTTCCAAAAGACAGCCAGTACCTAATAGCAGTCATGCTCCATTCCCTCTGACTCCTGCCTCTGGCTAGCAGTAATCTACTTTTTGTCTGAGTGGTCCTGCCTATTCTGGACATTTCATATAAATGGAATCATACAATATGTGGACTTTTGTGACTAACTTTTTTCACTTATGTTATCAGGGTTCATGCATGTTGTAGTATGTATCAGTACTTCAATCCTTGTTATTGCTAGTAATATTCCATTATATCAATATAATGCATTTTGTTTATCCATTCATCAGTTGATGGATATTTGAGTTGTTTCTGCCTTTTGGCTATTATGAATAATGCTGCTCTAAACATTTGTGTACTGATTTTGTGTGGATATATGTTTTCAATTTGGGAGGGTACATACTTAGAAGTAGAATTGCTGAGCGATATGGTAACTTTGAGGAACTGCCAGAGTGTTTTCCAAAGTGGTTGCACAACTTTCCACAAACAGTGTATGAAGGTTCTGGTTTCTCCACATCCTCACCAAACTTGTTATCTGACTTTTTGATTATAATGGGTATGAAGTGGTATTTCATTTTGGTTTTGCATTTCCCTGATGACTAATGATGTTGAGTGTCTTATGACGTGCTCTTTGACTTTGGTATATCTTCTTTGGAGAAATATCTTCTCATATCCTGTTCCCATTTTTAAACGTGGGTTATTTACCTTTTTATTATTGAGTTGTAAGAGTTCATATATTTTTTCTTGATGTACTTTGGTGTCTAAGAAACCATTGCCTAATGGAAGGGTATGAAGATTTACTCCTATGTTTTCTTCTTAGTGTTTTATAGTTTCATCTATTACATTTAAATCTTTGATCCATTTTGAATTAATTTTTATATGTCATATTAGGTCTTCATTCTTTGGCATGTGGTTATCTGGTTGTCCCAGCATTGTTTGTTGAAAAGACTATTCTTTCCACATTGAATTGTCTTGTCAAATACCTAATCATAGGCAGACATGGTGGCACTGCCCGCAGTCTTAGCTATTTGGGAGTCTAAGGTGGGAGGATCGCTTTAGCACAGGAGTTCAAGTCCAGCCTGGGCAACATAGCAAGACACTGTTGAAAAAAAGGAAATCTATTGTCCATAAATTTAAGGCTTTACTTCTGGACTCTCAATTCTATTCCATTGATCTATATGTTTATCTTGATGCCATTACTGTAGTTTTGTATTAAGTTTTGAATTTGGGAGTGTAAGTCATCTAACTTTGTCTTTTTCAAGGCTGTTTTACCTATCCTTAGTCCCTTTAATTTCCATATGAATTTTAGGGTCAGCTTGTCAATTTTTGTAGCTGAGATTTGGATAATGATTGCATTATATCTGTATATCAATTTGGGAACATTGCCATCTTAACAATTTTAGTCTTTAGATCTGTGAAAACAGATGTCTTTCCATTATTTTAGGTCTTTAATTTCTTTCTACAATGTTTTATAGTTTTCGTGAACAAGGCTCATAACTTCTCTTGTGTAATACATTCTTAAGTATTTTATTATTTTTGATGTTATTCTTCTGCCAGTTCATATCTGCTGTTGATTCCTTCTAGTGAATTTTTCGTTTCAGTTTTTATATTTTTCAATTTGAGAATTTTTATTTGGTTCTTTTAAAAAAATAATCTATTAATTTTCTTTATTTAGTGAGGAATTGTTTTATACTTTAATTCTTTAGGCATAGTTTACTTCTTTGAACTTATTTATAATAGCTAATTTAAATTCTTTATCTAGAAAATCCAATGTCTGGGCTTCCTCAGGGACAGGGACAGTTTCTATTAAATTGCTTTTTTACTATGTACTGGTCATACTTTCCTTTTTTTTTTTTTTTCTTTTTTTAAAATAGTTTTTTTTGAATTATATATTTAAAATAATATGGTAACTCTAGAAATCAGATTCCCTCCTCCTGGGATTTGTTATTGCTGTTTTGTTGTTGTTGTTGCTGCTATTGCTGCTGCTTGTTTAGTGCTGTTCCTGGATTAAGTATATAAAGTCTGTATTCTTTGTCTGGTGAGGTAACTGAAGTCTTTGTTTACTTTAGTGGCCATCTAATATTTGGATAGAGATTTATTGAAGTGCCTCCAACAGTATAAGTCTCCCAGGGCTCTGTGTGTGTGTGTGTATGTGTGTGTGTGTGTGTGTGTGTGTGTGTGTGTGTGTCTGTGTTAGGGCATGTTATCAACACTCCAACAGGCAGTTATAACTCTGCCTTAGCCTTCACTTCCTGTGTATGCAGTTTATCCTGAGATGAGAGATTAGAGTCCTCTCAGATCTTACCTGGCTATGTGCATAGTTCTGAACATGTGTGTGGCTTTCAAGATTTCCTTATGTTGGAACTTTTCAAAGTCTCCTGTGGACATCTCATTCCCTAGTTTTTCCTTTTAAACTTTTTCTTCTGTCTCTTGATAGCTGCAACTGATATCACCACCTCAAATACCTGCAATGGTAAACAATTTCTGCTCAATGTTTTTGACAAATTTGTTTTGCCTCCTCTACTAGTTTAGGCTGCTGGTTTTCACAGGTACTGTAGTTGCTATGCTGTTGATTTCCAGGGCTACCATGGATTTGGAGAGAGGAGGATGAGAGTAGTACATGTTACACTACCACAAAGCTTGCTGTTCTCTCCAAGATTCAAGTTTCTTTTTCTTGAATTAACTCTCCATAGATTGTTGCAAGCCTTTGGTTAATTTTCCAGAGTTTTGAAAAAGCTGACATTGAGATTTTTGCTAATATTCTCATTTTTTGGTGGAGTGACTTTTTGTAGGTCCTTACTATGCCATTCGTCAGAGTGATCACCTCTCTTCTTATTATTTTGCCCTCCTTTTTCCCCTGCTGACCATGGACAGTGATAGAGCATGATAATAAAACTCTGAACCAGTTCTCTGCACTTCCACCTAGAATGCAAGCTATCCTGTACTAAACCAAGAGGTTAAAATAATGTTTTATACTGTTTATATATGTTAAATATTTATAAAAATCAGGAAATGCTTTTTCTTTTTAGCTGAAGGATCTAAATTTACTTGATCGCTGTATAAAAGAAACATTAAGACTTAGACCTCCTATAATGACCATGATGAGAATGGTCAAAACTCCTCAGGTAAGTCTCTTGGCTAGATCTCCCCCCGTACATCCCCAGTTTTTATTTATCAAAAAGAGAAAATAAAATAGCATCAAATAAAATTTTTTAAATTAAAGAAGTAATCATCACTTCTACATCATTTTTAATTTTATGTATTCTAAATATATGAATATTTTTACATAAGTACAGATAGTATACAGTCATAAATCGTTGCTGGTCAATCTCTAATGCTAATTGTGCTCTGAATTTTTATTTAACAATTGGGGTTTTTAAAATAGAAGTGTATTTTTTCATGGGTTTTAAAAATAATGTTTTGTTATAAAAAAAAATTTTAGTATGAAGTATATAAATCGTACAGTGAAAGGTTCCCTGAAATTCTACCCCTAACTCTGAGGCATTGTGAGTTTGATTTGTGTACTATACACTTCCAACCAAATGTTGGCTCACTTGAGTTAAAATAAATCATCATCATTGGCCGGGCACGGTGGCACACGCCTGTAATCCTAGCACTCTGGGAGACCGAGGCAGGAGGATTGCTTGAGCTCAGGAGTTCGAGACCAGCTCTGAGCAAGAGCGAGATCC